TCGATCCCTATTTAACATTGTGTATAAACGCAATCGCCTTATCGATGCACAAAAATATGCAATTTATTGCTTGCATTACAGCGAAGGAGACGAACCGTACACGAGATAAAACTTAATAAAAAAAAAAGGGTGGAAGAAGGAGTCGAGCGGCGAATATTGGCCCGCGACGGGCAAAAAAAAAAGAGAGAAAGAAGAAGAAGAAGGAGAGAAGAAAGTTTTGCGCTAGTGCCGCTGCCGGCGCTGAACTGGAAAAAAAAATTTTTTTTAGGTGGAAAAGTTCTTTTGTACGAGGTTATTATACCGCTGGATATAATTGGATGGGCACTCGAATGTTTACCGAGTCGCGAGCGAGACAGAGACTTTTCTCTCTCTTTCTTTCTCTCTTTTTATTTGGGTAGAGCGAGAGGCGAGGCTTTGTATATATAGTTGGATGCGATAGCGGCACACGTGTCTGCGCGTTTCACAAACAATTGCCGCAGCCGCCGCCCCCGAAATTGCAGCCGCCGACGTTAAATGACAAATGAGCAACATTACGATCCGTTAATACGAGCTGCTGTTGTACACGCCCGCGGCTGTATTACCGCACGCGGGGGAGGTCTATAAAATTAAGAATACGCAAAGCTGCTCGACTTTGTAGTAGTATAATCCAGTCCCGAATAAAAAGTAAAAAAAAAGAAGAGGAAAACCGCATTAACCGCTCGCTTCGGTACTTAAACGCGATACGAGGCCAGGGCAATAAAACGCCCGAAAAAGCGAGGGGACGCTTAGAGGGTAGAACAATAAAAGCATAAATAATACTGCGCGCGCGACGGATTCCCACGCGGCGGCGGCGGCGGCGGCGTTTATATGTACATAAGTGCCTATAACCTGCCTGTATAATGTGTGTGTGTGCATGCCCGCCGATTAACGTTCGATCCGACGAACTTTTTGACTCGATTGGCTGATCGCGTTGGTGGTAGTAGTAGCTCTCCCGTGTGTACAGCTTGCACATTTAATATCGTGAAAGTTTGGGTGGATGGGCGATTAACTCGAGGCACACGGGCTACGTAGTGGGTATTAGAAGGCAAAACGTTTTACTATACACACACAGACACACGAAGTTGTTAAAAAGCGATGAAGAAATCGAGATATTTCTACTTCGGGTACTTTTATGCCGGCCGTATTTCAAGCATCGAAATTTACCACCGACGACGCTCTTTGTGCAGCGCGTCGCGGCGCCCTTTCGGAAAAACGCGCGGAGTACGGGTAATAAAAGTTTTTTTTTGCGACGTTTTTCGAGAAAAAAATACGGGCATAAATGGACGCGGACGCATTTTTTGGGATCGAACCTTCGGTATAGTAGTGGCATAAGAATTTTATTCCGTAAAAATTGCGCGACCTCTCTCTTCGGCTCTTAATGGCGACGTAAAAAACTCGAGAGAGAGAGAGGTAACTTTTGAAATTTTTATGTAATAAAAAATTCATCAAATGGTTATTTTCTTTTTTTCGGGGGAAGGTGGAGTATATTTTTTAAAAGAAGGATCTCGTCGAGAGGTACGGGGAAAGATTTTAATAAATATTCAGGATCCCATTTACGAGGGTACAAAAACACATCGTCGTCGTCGCGTGTCCGAGAGAGAAATGTGAATTTGACAACGGTGACAATGAATCGGTCGGCATGAATTTATAACCGCGACGGAATTATACCTACTCTCATAAAAATACGCGTATGGAGCACGCCAACGTTGCAGGTATTCAATGACGATGGTCGCCAGTGTCCAGTCCACCTCCCCCGTATTTAAACGCGCGACTATTTAAAAGGATATTTTAACCCAGTTTATGCATTAAGAGAAAATTGATGAAAGCTTATATTTGCCCGCGCACGTGTGGGACTCTGGCCGCATGTAACGCACGGGGCAATATGAAAGTTATTTAATTTTGAACTTTTAATGAAACTTTACGCGAGAGCGCAGCGCAGCGCTACTACCGCCTCTAGCTATATATCCTAGTGTACCTATGTGTGTACTGCCTCTCTCTCCCATGCATGGTATGGCCCGTTGATTACGAATATTTTGCAAAAGAGAGAGAGCAACTTTTTTATACAACTCGAGGCACCACTACACGTATACATTGTTGGGAGAGAGCAAAAAATTCCGGCACAGCACCCGCTATAGGCGACGATCGTCATCGAAAAGCGTACGAAAAAAAAGAGTACCAACGACAGAAACAAAAAAGTTATAGGCGAGATCGATGAATCATCGTTAAAAAGTCGCGCAGCAAAACGAAAAGTCGTGTACATCCCGCAGCAGCAGCACCGAGAGTATATGTAAATAATCAATCCAATCAAGCTTTTCATATCTCGCGCGCGTGTTTGGCGTGTGCGTGTTCCGCGGGAGTAGCACTGCAGCGGCAGCAGCGTACTGCACTATAACTACCACTGCAGGCGCACAGACCGCGAAACCTGACGTAACGTAATTAAATTTCCCACCGGGGTAACTGACTTCTTTTCTTTCTTTTTTTTTTGCTACTGCTGCTGCTGCCGCTACCACCACACCGTCGATTACGCCAATTTACCTCCAGCCCCGCGGAGTATAACAACCCGAGCATTTTTCTCGTTCTCTTTTTCTTTTTTGCTCCTGTATACTTTTTTTTCTCCTCGTATTTATAATATACACACACACAATAGCATTGCGTAATTCCAAAGGCACGAATGCCCATTGCGCGATAAGCAGGCCGCGCGCGAGCTAGCCCTTTTCTCGGCCAGCTCCGTTATTTTTCATCTTATTTCAATTTCCCCGGGGAAGATCCGGTCGGCACACATACGCACACGTTTAAACGCTGCGGAAAATCGCTTAGACCATTTCTAACTCGTCGAGAGTTTATACGAATGTACGGCATACGTACGTATATCCACGAATGCAATTATTTTTTTCTGAATAAAGCCGCGAGTCGATTCTTTTTTTTTTTCAATAACGCAGCGTTCGCAAATCGAAGTTGTAATCAGAGTATACATAGCCGTCGTACTCGATGGAAAAATGTTTTGCTTTGTCGTGAAAAATTATTCTTCCGATTGTCGCGCGGGAGAGCGTGAAGATTAAAAAAAACAACAACAACGAGCAAGAAGAAGGGCGTCAAGCCGAGCGCGCTCGCTAGCATTGTTTTTTTCAATAAACGCGATATTGCACAATGGAGAAAAAAAAAGTCTCGAAACGCGAAAAGAACAAGGAAAAAAATATCAATAAGATACATACCATTTAAAAGGAACTCGAAGCGCGAAGATGAAGATTATTCGAATGCGCATAATGAATATGAGAGAATTTCGCGAAGGTTAAAGCCTATATATTTGCGGCTACAAGAAGCTGCGGCGAAGGAATGCCAAGTACGCTCCGCTCTCCGTCGCGCGAGCGTTACATTTTCCAGAGCTTCTTCCTTTTTTTTTTTCTTTTTTTTTGATTTCGTCCGCAATTGAATATCGTCGATCCTTGCGTCGCGGGAAAAGTTCGCCTCGCTTAAATCTCGATTGATTAATTATAATGTCACTCACGGGTCAGAGGGATGCAAATAATAGCGCGCCCCAAGAATATCGCATAAACTTAATAGGTACAAGTTTTGGTCCCCGCCCTTAATACTCGCAAGAGAGAGAGAGAGAGAGAGAGAGAGAGAGAGAAATGAGAAGATCGGGATATAGCGTCACGACGAGCGCGCGCGGGTTAGAGATGATGAATGAATTTTATGCAAGTCATAATAGCTCTATGATCCCTTATTTAAGTTACGAGCATCGTCATACACACGCACACACCCACACTCACCCACACACACATACAGCGTCGAAGTTTAAGATAATTTCTCTCCGCTCCATGCGGCGCCCGTTTCGATTCGCGCGCTCACATAATATAATAATATATCTGTATCGATGGAAGTAATTACTGCCAGAGACATTTTATATACGCGACGCTTTGGCTTGACACAATCGGGCTTCCGATTAAAAGTTGCCCATCTCTCGCCCTGCGCCCCCGCCCCCCGAAGGATGTTAAATCGCTTCGAAAACTCGCGCTAATTATCCTTCGACGAGATATAATCATAAAGTTGTTGGATTTTATATGCATTAACGTTTGCAGTATATATAATACATCTGCGTCTATGTTGGGGAAGAAAAAAAAATAAATGCCACGCGTCGCGTACGTATATCTGGTAAGTTTCGCGTATATTAACCACCACCACCGCCGCTGCCACCGCTGCCAGTACCGCTGCCACTGCTGTGTAGTGTCTACTTAACCTTAATTGTGGCCCATCGGAAAAGGAAAACCCACTCCGTGATGAAATTTCATTTGCCCTCGCTACTCCGCTTCTCTATATATCTCCCAGCCTATGCGCACACCTTCTTCTACGTCTACCCCATGTACATCATTGCCGCCTGTGCACACTGCAGTTAGGAAAAAAAAAAATAAAAAATAAAATAAATGAAAAGAAAAAGATAAGACTCAAGGAAGCGTAAGGATAATTTTTTTTTAAGTTTGTTTTCTCGTCTTTCCGATGACCGACTTGCGAATGAATATTTCATCCACGCGGTAGCAACCAAAAGAAGTTGAGACACACACACACACGTACACACTGTATGCAGTAGCAGAAGCGGCAGCCGCGGTGACGGCAACGACGTGGCGGTGCAGTGGGCAGGAAGAGGAGTAAACTGAAATAAGCTATTAATTATTCATGGAAGCTATAAATGAGTTACCATCGCATCGCGCGGCCCTCGTTGCGCGCGTCTCTCTCATTGTACACATGACGCTTCGTACTCTTAATGAGAAAAGACGAGTTCTTTATTTAATCCCCCCCTTAACACCCCCTTCCCGCAGCTGACATTCGCAGCAAAACGTAATTTTTATAGGAAAGAAATCAGGAAGTAATAATAATAATAAAAAAAAAGTTTGATAAAATTTGTGCTCGCTATAAAATATTTATATTCTATGAATAATAATAGTAATCGAAAAAGCATAATCAATGAGATCGAGATTTGTACTTACAGGCTTTGTGACAAAAATTTCGACAGCGCGAGCTTGCTGATGCGATTATTCTTGAGGCCGTCGAGCACGGCCGAGGCCGACGACGCCGCGACGTCCATGGCTTTTTTCTTCGCTTGCGAGCGTGTGTGTGTGCGTCTGTCTGTGTTGCTGATGCGGCGCCTCGCTTTGACCGCTTACTTTATCGGTGAAATTATCCTTCGCGACTGGAAGGATTTTTCTTCTGCGTCGTCGTCTTCTTCTTTTTCTTCGTATTTCCTCGTTTTTTTTATTATCACGAATTTAAGTGCCTCTTGACGTTGGCGAACACTTTTTCATGATTCGGCTCGATTTTTTTATCGCAATCATCTTTCAGCGATCGCAGTCGGCGTCATCTTTGTGTCTTGTTTATTTATATATTTTCTTCTTGTTTTTTGGAAAGCACGTTGGCGATGTTGTATATATCGTAATAATTTATAATTCTACGTTTTTTTCTTCCTACTTGTGTGTATATCAAATGTTTTATATTTTTTGCTTCGGTTTTTCGGTTGTTGTTCGTCGTCTTTTTTTATTTTCTTTACAAGAAATAAAAGCAGGTAAAAAGCCGTATTTTTAATTATTTATATCGTAAACTTGCTATATAATATTTATATAGAAGCAACGGCGTTTATCTTCGTCTATTATATTTTCTATACGTTATTATTATAATATTTTTTTTTCACTTTTGTTAGAATCGTTGTTCAATGGTTGAGCGATGTTTCTTCGTCTTTACGTCTATAGCACACGTACATGTAATTATACTTCTTAGGAGTTTATTCTTAAAATTTACACGTGCAACTGTGTTCCACTTTTATTTCTCCTTCTTGCTTTATTATTATTATTTATTTATTTATAATTATATATTATAAAAACAAAGTGTGTAATTTTTCAACCTGGTATGATCAATTATATGTAGGCCTTTGGAAACTCTATGCTTTGTTACCCCTCGCTTACGATATACAATGTGATCAACTTCTAAAGTACTTAATAATACAACAAATGCGTATCAATGGATATGCTCTATAGACCTTTTATAATTTTTTTTCCCTCTATAATTTTTTTTCTCTTTTCGTTATATACTGTGGCGTAAATCCGGTACAATGTTGTCTCGGTGGTTTTTTTTCTATGAATTTTTTTTCTTTTTTATATTCAATAAAGTGGTATACAACGATGATCAAAAATTGTTATTACGCAGCAGCATATATCAACGACGAACGAATCTTAAATTTTTTGTTGAAATCCCTTTTGTTGAAAATTCGCTCTCTCTTTCTTCTTTTAACGATTCGACAAATGTATAATATATTATCGTATATAATAACGTTACAATTTAATTTACACTAGACAATAATATTCCCCAACTTGGCGCAATATTAAATAATCACAACAACGTCGTTGCAACGCACGTCGTCTGTATATATAGGTGTGTGTGTGTGTTCTTGCGACGAGGCCCACCACGACGATGTGCACCGTATGTGTGTTTGTTATAAATTCTTCTTTCTAACGACGTCCACACACACGCGCACCCACTGTCACACACATTTATATATACAAAGGCGAGCAAAAAAAGACACTCTCGAGGCGTGTACGTGTGTATCTTCCTTTTTCCTTATTCTTTTTTTGCTTCTTTCCGTTCTTCCTTCCTTCTTATTTTTTTACGAGCGAGCGAGAAAAGGGCAGAGCGAGAAGCGAGAAGAGACAGACAGAAGAAAACAGACAGTTTATTTTTTCTTCGGGTTATTGCGATATATACGTATACATATAGAGAGAGCGAGAGACACGGAACGAGAGATGGAGCCTTCGATAGAAAACTCTTGCCGTCTCCTCGTTCTCGCAGTTACTTTTTTGTTCTTCCTCTTGTTCTTCTTCCGTGTGTTACGTATATCTTTTTTTTTTGTTTTATTATTATTATATATATACGTATATAGCAGTGATGTATAGCACTACGAGGGCAGGAGAAGCTTGACAATCATCATCTTCGACGGCGTCGTCGTAGTAGTTGTCGTCCCGCTGCTGCTGCTGCTTCTGCTAATACGACTCTCGCTTTGCCACTTTCTTTTGCGATCATCGTCCAGTAGTACTACGGCCGTCTCGTCGCTCGTCATGTCATCATCGTTGCTGTCTCGCGATGACGTTCATCTCGTCGACAACTTGGTCGTCGTAGTCGTCGTTATCATCCTCGTCTTCGTCGTCATCGTCGCTTTACATTATATACACACACACAAACGCACCGATTAAAGGAAACAAGGGAAATGAAACTGGAGTGTAATTCGGAGTCGTTTATCGTTGTAGCACCAGTAAGAGGGAATCACATGTACGATTGCACGCGCACGTTAAAACACACCGAGTATTATTATCGCTATCTCTCTCTCACTAGACTACTGTAAAACAGGGGGAAGTGAGTAATTGAACGGCACACACTCGTTTCGTTATTTCTTTTTACAAAGTAAAAACGGAAATGTATGTATTATATACAACACGAGACGAAGACAGAGAGAGAGAGAGAGAAAGAGAGGAGAGAAAGAGGGACTACACACAGCACGAGCACAACACCACTTTTGTTTTTGTTTCAATATATAGAAAGGTATATAGGGGTAGGGCACAACGCACACACGTGCCACGTAAACCCGCGGAGCACAATTAGACCTTCTTTTCTTCTACACTGTACGACGGTCGGCGAGGCACTGTTGTCCCCCCGCGCGTCCGCACTCGCGTACAACTCTCTCTCGCAGCAGTAGCAGCGTAGCAGCATACATACATACACACGCGCCAGCAGCAGCAGCAGCAGCGCTGCTCAACCAGCAGGAGAGAGAGAGAGAGTTGAAGAGCGAGAGAGACGAGGCGATATATATCTCTACACACAAGTCGAGTGCGCAATCGCCCGCTACATCGATATCCCCCAACAAGCACAACCAACCACCCGGCTCCTGGCTTTGTCTGTGTGCACGTTTATATGTGTATAAAGTGTATGTCTGCGTGTATACGTCGTAGCGCGCCAAATACGCGCGCGGAAAAGATCTATAGAAGGACGCCGCACACTAGACGGTGGCCGCACACGTAAGGAGCTTTCCCCGAGCTTTCCGTTTTCTTCGAGCTCGAGATTTTTGGAAATTTTATTTTTTTCGGTTTTTCCTTTTGTTGTCTCGTTCGAACATATACAAAGGGGGGGTTGTGGGTATTTTTACGATGATCCGTGGCAGGCACGAACTCCAGATACGTACGTGCGTGTATACAACAGCTGACCTAGTGTGCTGCAGCGACGGCTAGAGCTTTCGGGCTAAAGGTACTCTCTCTGCTGCGCCGAAGCACGACCTCAGCGATTCAGTGCGCGGGCGCGAAAGGTGAGAGACGAATGTATATATAGTACTAGTTATACACACTCGCGCGCATGGCTTACACACACACACACAGACACACATTCGGGGTGCAAGAGTCTACGTGCTATTACCCAAAAGGGTGGAAAAGTAGGAGGAATATAACGAGCAAACGAGAAAGAATATGCGCGCGAAGGAGAAGGGAGAGATATACGTTGTATATATGTGTGTGTAAGCCGACGCTGCTGCTTCTGCTGCTTCGGTTGCTGTTGCTGCCGTCGTCGTCGTCGTCGTTGATGCGAGAAAGAAGTTGTGTTTTGACGGCGAGCTCCGTATGATGATAATAAAGAGGCGAGAATGATGCAAATTTTTTTTGATGCGGTGTGGTTGTGCCACTGAAAACAGATTCGATTACGGACGCGGATCTTTTTCCGCTCTGTACGAGGGGGAGGTTGAGAAAAATACAGATGAAGAATCTCGCGACGTGGGTACACATCGATCTTTTTCCAAGTACAGCCCGCCCCCACCCTCCATAATCGAATGATAAAAATAAATCTCGCGATCTCGGAGCTCTTCCTATATCTTCGTCATCTCATAGCGTAAACTCATCGTGTTGGTGGACAACCACCCCGCATATAACCGAGCTTATAAACAACGTCGCTCGCACGAAACAAACACGAGTCATCTTTCATTCTCGGCGTGTATAACGTTGTATATATTTGAAAGCTGTTTGTGCTATATATGATACAGTATATACACCGCGTGTGTGCGAGAAGCAATAGTCCTCACACAAAAGTCAGGCAGGGGCGGCGGCAGGGATGAAGAGCAAGAGGAGGAAGAGGTGGAGGAGGAGGAGGAGGGTAGCAGCAGCAGCAGCAGAGGAAAGCGTCGGCGAAAATCGGCCACCCGAAACCTTGACATCTGCTCGCGTGCTTGTGTGTATATACAAGCATATATATTCGTATATAATACGTATGTCTGTATATGTGCCTGAACACACGAGTATAGGCCAGAAGGCGAAATCCCCGAAAACGACAGCAGCTGACGCGCGAGCAGCAGCAGCAGCAGTATACGATGCGGTGGTGGTGGCCGGAGATCGAGCAGCAGCAGCAGCCCGTCGTCTAAGATTACGCCAAAACTAAACTGGGCACAAACTAACTTTGCTCGAAATTTGCGCACAAATCGGGTGACAGAAACTTTATTCACCTCGTGTGCTGCGGCGCGTTACACTTCTTCCCTACAACTACTTCCTCGCGCTCTTATACGGATGATTAATTCAGGAGAAGTTGGCGGTGGTGGACCGATCGGGCGACCGACGGCTTTTCTCGACTGGTCAAGAGATTTGAGATCACGACGACGACGACGACGAGTGGAACATTTCGTTTTCTTATACGGTTATACGTACAAGCTGTACACATATAGAGCTACGAAGAGACGAATATAGGAAAAGTCACAAGCGAGAAAGTGAAAAATCGATTCCACTTATATTCGCTTTCTCGCTCGTGGTAGTGGTGATGTGTGTGTGTCTCTCTCTCTCAAGAGAGAGATATGTGCATTATACACATGCAGCTCTGCACGTCCATACTGCTATATAGCTCTCGAACGGATTTAATGCCCAATGGGGAAGAGGAGGAGGGCAAACTCTGAAATATCGCTAATAATAGAGCTGAAATTTTTCATTCCCTCGTTCCTCCCATGAAAGGCATATCTATTTTATACCACTTGGACTTGGACGCGA